ATTCCAATCCCTTGTAAAAGGTGTACTTACCTCAATATTGGTTGGTTATCGTATGCCTACAACCACGGGATGAAAACGGAACGAAGTCGATTTTCCCGCTCAACCTGGAGGACAACTGTACAATTCAATAACTATACGGCCTAATTGGTAGACGTTAAATGCCATGTTCTAGTAGCGCTGTTGAAATTTCCATTGAAAATTTTTTTTGTCAATAATTTTTAATGAAATTGCGTTATATGTTATCTGGATTGATGAGAATTCCCATTTTCTGGCCTGTTATTCTGGTGTCCGCGTCATGTAATCTGACTGCGACACCCCCTAGCATGTTGGTTGCAACGATCAGTGTTTCAGGCGAACTGTAGCAAAATATCGCTATGGTGAGAAAGATAGGATAGTTGAAGGGTAATTTCATCTACACAAATAGTCTACTTTATTTAGATGCTGTACCTTTCGTCATGGTATCATTCAATGGAGACTTCACGTCTCAGGATATTAATTCAGCCTATTTTCGTGTGAAGAACAGTCCTTTTTGACAAAAGAATTCTATCAGTACTTCGAAATCACCTGTAAATGCTAACAGAACCTTCTGTGGGAATAGAAGTAATCATGTGGATTTGTCTCACCATATGTATATATGGACAGGAATTATCGTAAGTTGAGAGGTTATTTCTGAGTGGATTTCATGTATATTTGCACTGTTTGGTGTAGTGTAATATGAGTTATGTGGACTCAATGTATAAAAATACCTCAACTTTATTTATATTGTGCCATTGTCTCCTTAGTTGACTGGTTGGCTAGCAAACGTAGGTGGTTGTCATGATTATTGCAAGTGCAGTGCCGTGGAAAAGGCAATCACTCGTTTAAATTTCCTTACTGTGCCACTTAGTGCATTAATTCAGTGTATAGTATTATTATACACATGGATTGTGTCGATTATGAGAACTGAATCTAGTCAGCTCTATTACTATCAATCTACTGTCTGTTATACCATTCTCACTGGCACTGTAAGCTTAATGCTGCAATGTTTTTGATCACCAGTAGTGGTGATGAATTTTCCATTGACATGAAGCCGCATCACGAGTGAAAGTTTAGGTTGCATTATATGTCATTGTTATCCTCATCAACACAACAGGTCTGCGTATCTTACAATATTTTAAGTGTTTCTCTATGCTGCTAACACTGTGCAAATCTGTTTAGAGTTGAAGCATGTTCAGCTTATATTTGATGGCTACAGATTCCTTAATGTGAGAGTATAATTTCTGTAGGATTCATAAAACTATGCTCATTAGACAATACTGAGATTATGGATCAATTTCTAAGTTACACGTTTGCAATACTTCATTTAATGTAAACGTATTCAGTGTGAAGTTGATCTGCAACTAAGGTTAATGAGAGTATGACGCCTCAACAGTATGGAAGCTTCAAAGATTGTCTTGATATTTGCGTGTAATCCTTTAATACTGGAAAACATTTGAGGTCTATTGATGCTTATAGTGCCAATATAAAAACCAGCTGAAAACTACATATACATTTATTTGCATGAGATAATACTTAGTATTAACAGAATCAGTGTATTCAGTGTGTGCTAATATGTAGAATTATCTTTCATAAATTCATGTTATGCTAGTCCTTACATGTGCTTTATTTTTTTCAGGTATACGGAAGTTGTCGAATATGAAACCAGCGGAAATATCATCCGGACAAACTAACGTTAATACTCTTCATCGGGATTTTCTTTTGTAAATTAATGAAATGTTTAATATACTCTTCAATTCTACTTCCTCTGGACTTTTTCAGTGCGTCGCTATACTATGTGCTTTTGTAATAAGTGAATTCGAATCAATGCATGTTAAGCTTAGTTAGAGGGATGGAGATTTACTATAGTATTATGAGACTGTTACTTTAGTCCTTCGTAAGATTTCGTGTCTGTTTCTATACAATAGCACATTGTAAAACTAATATGCCGTTGAATCATCTGATATCCATCATTTCTATAATCAACAACTGCGGTGTTTGCATATCTACTTTATGAATATTAAATAACTTACGCCTTTATGTATCTGATTACCTCCAGTATTACAACAGTATATCCTATTCATTTGATGTGTGTACGGTAAACAAGGCATTCATACATTTTCCCACAAATACCAAGGTTTCTGGTGTCACAAGTGTTAATGAGAGTTGCTTCCTTGGTTTCAATACAAACCTTTTTTCATCTAGTAAACAAACAATCTCCTCCATCCATCTTTATATACCTTCAAGTTTTACTTTTATTATTTCTATTATATTTATGGTCCTGTTGATTCTTTGTTTTCACTTTCATAACTGCAAACACCAACTTATCTCTATGACTGCTGTAATCTTTGTTTTTTCCCTCACCATATCATGTAAAGAGAACATCATATTCAATATTTTTAATCATGCAAGGATTTGTATACCGCATCGACAATACTGTGTGAAACAAGCCCACGGCAATTTCCACTTGTATTATTATCATTACCTTAGCTGCTATCATTATTATTATTTCCATTTTATATGCTGCATGTTTTTTATTTTTTTATATTAACCCTATTGTAAATGTAGAAAAATTTTCTGCGTGATTACTTTTATTTATAATTTGAGGAAATTAGATGCAATATTGTGATTAATGCTGAAAATTCCATTCTGTATCACAAGTATTGTTTTTGGAATAAAGTAAATTATTATTATTATTAAATGACGTTCTAAAATATCTCCAGTCGTTGAACCCTTCTTGTATTTCCAGATTGTTTGCCTAGCCTTATTCTTAAAAAATGTACAGATATCCTCTCACATATTTAATGAATCTTTTTCCAGAAATGTCGTGCCAGCCGTTTGGAAGGACTTTAAAATTGTACCTGTACCTAAGTCGTCTGATGGAACATGTTTTAAATTTAGACCTATTGCTATTACCTCCCCTTTTGTAAAAGCTATGGAAAAGTTACTCTTACTTAATCTTCAACCTTCACTTAAAGCCTTTAACGATCTCAAATGATTCGCCTATAAACACAGTAGAAGTAATTTAGATGCAGCTGCAGTCTTGCATCACAACATTTTCTCCATTATAGTCGTCCAGTACCAATTGTATTTTTGTTTGACGAACTTAATGTACATACGCATACGAAATGAAATATGTCAAGTGCGCGGACTAACTATTCCGGTGTCTTTTAATTCGCATCTACACTGTACTAAGATGAACAGCTCCCTATTAGTAGTCAGAAAATGCTTTTAAACTAAATCCTTCCAAATGTCAGACTGTCAACTTCAGTTTCCGATGTAAGAGAAAGTCAGGTGAAGCTGTTAATTCCTATGACCGTTTCAAAATTTATGACAGTGATATAGAGCTCAAGTCTGACTTTAAGTATCTCGGACTAATTCATCAAACAGCGTATTAGCCTTAAATGTATATCACACGCATGCATGAACTAGGTATGCAAACCAAGGTAAACGCTGATATAAGTATAAAACTTGGGCACTGTGGTAGAGTATAACTCCATTATGGATAAGATTTTATTTTGATAAATCAGACAGTATTGTACAGTATTATTAGCTGATGACGTTTCGAGCACAAACGCTAGCACGGTACACTCATTATTTAAAAAACTAACTCATATGTGAGAACTACGATTTGACCGGCTTTACAACGTTTAATATATTTAGACACAATAGACATACACTGCTTACTTCTATGACGCATTACCTAAAGCTACCCCCTTGCTACTACCTAAGTAGCCTCCAAAGCCTCAGGATGGTCGGGGGTGGGTGCCTTGTGCTGCGGGTTGGCCACCCCTCCGTACACCTCTTGAAATGCTCCCATATGACCGGGCGTCTTACATAGCCTCTCCTGAGGAAGTCCTACTCACTGCCTTCACGTGGCGGAAGTGTTTTTCACCAAAGTGAGAGGGCGAAAGCGGATGCCCTGCGCTCTTCACCGGGTTGACTGTCCATTGGACGACAGTCTAGGGGAGATGGCTAAACCCTGATTCCAAACCTCCAACGACTGGCGTATGAAGCTCACTGGATCTCACCGGCAGACGTATGGACAAAGGGCTTGTTGGGTGTCCTGGATGTCTGGCCCCATTCAAAAAGGCGTATGAACCGAACTCCGGTCACCGGCTGTCAATGGATAGTGGACTCCCTACTCCACTCCTACTGCCTTGTAGGTCACACTTGGTTGTGTAAAGGCTAGAGCTGCACTCTCAAACAAAAGGCCGAGCGATTCTGGGGACATCACTCGTACCAAATTCCCATGAAACTTCATGAACTCTCTTGATTCGAGATGTTCATGAAGCCGGCTCATCCTCCCGTAGGAGATAGCCGAAGTAAAGTAAGTACTACCTAAGTGAGCAACTCAACGTTATCTTTGAATTACAAAGTAAAAGCGGACATCCTGAGAGCTTTCTGGGTAAAAAGATCGTCTCCTAGTCGAGAAAATAAACATATCCTAATCTCTTCACGAAAGCGTTTAGAGGTATTTATCCTATCGCCTCAAATGACTCACTATTTGCTGTCATTTAAAAAGTAAAAATAAATTTCTCGAAGGCAGTGTGCTTATGGTTTCTAGATATCATAATGCACCATGAGGAAAAAGCTTTATTCATAGGGTTATAGCAATTAGATGCGCGATATAAATCCGAAACTCAACGACTACGATTCTCAATCACAGAACATTCTACTTTGCTACCTAATCGTCTTAATAGATGCTTCGCCAAGAAGAAGAAGACTGTTGTTTCAAGGAAAATTTATTTAAAGTTTTCTTATACATCATGGGCAACCGTGTTTATAACCACGGAGAAATCACAAGCATCCGAAAAATAGGAATTTCATTATTTGAACTGAAACAAGCAATTTGTAACCAGCCAATTTTTTCACCCCGATTAATAATCAGCTTCTCAGACGGTTGTAAATTCGAAAAAACCACCGACTGCAGACCAAAATCCGAAACGTTATTCTTGCTAGTTAAATTCTTACCGAACACTCACCAGATCATCGTACGTTATCCGCTTTTCAAATCCTTTTGAAACAGATAAAATGGTTGTTAACACCGCGTTTACTACAGGCAGTCCTAGTTCGCGCGTTTGGATCTAGTACATTAACAATCATTTAGGGATTAACTATTGATTCCTAATTTTGCTTCCAAAAGTACATACAAACACCACACATTCATGCTTCACATTTAGCTCATCCTTGCTTGATTTTGATTCTCTCACAATATACCTGATTTTTTAGCTGACAACAGACACCTTGTCGAAAAGCTCCAAAGCTTTTTAAACTTCAAACCAGGTTCTAAATTCTCTGGGTTTAATTAGTTCCTCGAAAACTTTGCTAATATCAACCCTGATGGTGCTCTTTTCACCGGATTCATTCGTAGATTGTTGCATGCTGTGAACATGAACGTGAGAGACATTTTTTCCAGATTCCTACATATTAAGTAACCAACTGAGCCAGCAGCAATAACGGCAACCAAAAATGAACTGGAAACAATGGCTTCTGCTTCCCAAACATGTTCATGTGCATAATTTCCAAAACTTCTACACAGTACTAATTCATTATTAGCTGAAAAACAATTAAAACACTGAAACCATGCATGAATGCAACGTATGAAACAATTACAATGAAACGAATGCACTGACCTGGTGGTAAAATCTTTCGAAACAAACGAAATAACTAATTTTAACAGAAACGGAAACAATAATGAAGTGAAACGCAACATTTGTAAACAATGTGCATCAAGATACGTGGTGAATAAGTGCTGAATAAACGGAAAAATCGATGTGTAGACGAACAGCTACAGAACTGCAATCCAACATGGCCGACTAACATGGACGAAAATGACCTTTGAGCGTCTCACTCCATCAATGACCTTGTACATGTCGTTTAATTTCTGCCGCCTAATTCAGAAAATGAGTGTATTATATGTATCGAATATTTAACAGTTGAAATACGATTAACTTGTAGACAATCTACGATTTGATATTATATAATACTTGATCGTGCCTGTAAAAATGGCATGCATTTTCATGTAAATTTGTAAATTTATATGGAATACATTATTATTATTTTTATATTGGAACTTCACTGCACTTGCATACAACATCGACGGGTCTGGTTTGTCTGATCTAATGAGGAAGATGCCGTTACAAGTGTGGCACCTAAATCTTTGGGAGTAGTTTAACACAAGTGGACTCAACACATGAGGACTCATTGTGGAGGTAGTGGTCCAAATTATTCTCACTGGCTAGGAAGATTATTTTTCTCCGGCGGATAATCCCCAAAATACGTATTTTCCGGTTGCGTGGAAAAAGCACTTCGTATTTAAACTGAGCGCAAAATACATACATATTTTCGACTATCTTTCATGGAAATCATGGAATGCATTGACACAACAAATGATCTAGTCATCGCAACCTCTCTGTTTCATACACGAGGTAATATTTATGCACTGTCTGGATATGGGTGGCATGTTCTTCCATTAATGCTGACATTTGTCGGAGCGATTCAGCGTCACTCATAAATTTAGTGGAGCAAGTATGAAGATCCATGGGGTGCTCATCACGTACACCCCACACAATATCTCCCCATAGGATAGTCCCTGCCCCTTAAAGGGTGGTCAGTCCAGGATGGTGAGGGGTGGCCAATCCTTGTCATGTGGGTCTATGGGTGAAACTTCATGTGGTGTGGAGTTAAACCACCTTTATAGATCTAGAAACAGTCAGTGGGCTGGGGTGTACTGGCCTCAGTCTGTCATCAAGTATCCCATACTTGTAGTGTGCTATAGGAGTATGACCACTCCTTTCTGAAGCCATGCTACACACATGCAGGGATTTGTCTCCACGATGATGTTCCCTAATGCGACTTTCCACTATGCTTTCCGTCACCTTTGAAGTTTTTAGTAATAGGACGTTGTTCTCTCCCTGAAAAAAGCTCCCAACCATGTGTGGATACAGCACTCAACCAAATATAAGCTGGATATTGGTTTACCGTAACTATCAGCAGGAGACGAAATGGATTTCGGGATAATGGCGAATCTCGATGATGACCTTAATGTGGGATTTACAATTTAACGTTTAAACGAACTTGTTCTGATTGCTTGTGCTAAAAATTACCATTTGGACTGTTTAAAAATGGCTAATTTAAGATACTTCACCATTGTAATTTAAAACACATCTGATTGTGTCTGTACAAACGGCATGAATTTTATGTAAACTTACCCGTTCATACGAAATATAAATTATTAATACTGCTAATAGCCTTTAACTGGTAGGGCTCCAGAGGTTTTCCCCTCTTTGAATTTGTGGGAGCATACAACTCTTACTCTTCTGAAGCACCTGCTGCATATCTAACAACTGCCGGAACAGACTGCTTGGTGAAATACATAAGGCCCCAGCCAATTATCTGAGAACTGATAGTTCAATGTCATCATACACTGGGAGTTTCTCTTGATAGGACGTTATCAGCTCCCCCGGAACAATGATGGCATGAAGTTGGGGAGGGGATTAACTTCTAAGATGTCAGATTACAGGGTAAAACACCTAAACACCCATCAGTCATCTACTTCTTTGTTAAAATCCTCCCTGCTTCCAGAGTGGTCATACGCTTCAGCTGTTACTAAGCCGCTAAATAATCAACCGGCTGGCTGCGACATTTCTTCTTAGCTTCATCGTTAAGAATACTTTGTGAAATTAGGGTGAGTGTTGGAACCACTGAAGGAATGACTTGCGATGAATAAACGAGATATCAAAACTCAAAAAAGCGCTTAGATGGTGTCGTTTCACTAACAAAACTAAAAGTTTCCAGGTGTAAAATATCACTATAAGTCCAAAGGATCCTGTGAAAGCGAGAAAGCAAGATACTACATACAACATGACTTCGGTACCCCAGTATCGTTCATTAACGCTCATAGGCCCATTTCACGAGCATCAAGTATTTATTAGTTGTTTTATTTTAATGAATGTTGAACGGTGAAATGTTATTTTCCAAAAACAGATAATTTACAATCCTTCACACGTTTCTCACCTTGCACAAGATTTTTCAGCGACAAGATTCTGAGATGAAGTGATTTACATTTCGTATAAACATGCAAGTTTACACGAAACGCATGCCATTTTTACAGGCACAAATCAGTTATGTTATAAATTACGATCATGAAATATCATAAATGAGCACCTTTTCGAAATATAAATTTAGGATTATTGCACAAGCAATAAGAACAACAAAGTTGTATGGAGGAATTGACTTCAAGCTTTATTTTTTCCCAAATATTTGCAATTTATCCAACACATACTTGGTTTTTTCTGTTAATGCGAATACAATATTTCTATGTTTCTTAATGTGCTCCATTGAACGACTAGCTATCAGATTGTTCTCACTAACCAATGTCAGAGAGGACAGCAACCATGCAATTTCACCATAAATCAAATTCATGTAATGTAAATAATACTTATCCATGCCCGTACAACTGGTGTGTTCTACATAGATAGGAATAAACACATATATATTATATTAAGTTCTTAAAATGTCCAAACCGTAAACCCTTCACCAAGGTCATCATCAAGGTTAAGTGCCGACCCAAGCTCCATTCCGTCTTCTGCTGAGAGTTATGGTCAGCCAGTGAATCCAGATTGTTCCGGTCTAGTAGAGTTCTGCGTCCTCCCTATCCCTCAGTCTCTTCAGGACGCCGGGACTTAGTATTTTGCTTGGCGTGGACAAGAGGATGATTCCTTTCCATTTTTGAGGTGGTTTCTGTCGGCAAGGTAACCTCCCTTTCACCCAGCAGGTTGCTTTCTCTCCATCCAAGCTTTCAGCATGGGCATACCGTTGTGGCTACTGGACCAGTTTTCGGTACTCGGGAGAAATTCTTTCCTGTCACGCTGCCTTCCCGGACTTCAGTACCTCGATTACTTCTAAGACTACTTCTTTTGTTAGGGTGAATTGTGGTTGGCTGGCAGTTTTGTGGCTGTTGATAGTATTTTTCGATGAGTTTCAGGTGATGATGGTTGGTTCAGGAATCCTATGAAGTGATCATTCGATTGTTTCCTTTGTCTCCCCTCTTTGATAGTCACTTTCCCTACACCATCTTTCATTGGTTTCGTCTGCGCTGATCTCTTCCCGAATAATAATAATTTTATATTTTCATATAAACATAAATTTACATGAAAATGCATGCCATTTTTACAAGCGCGATCAAGTATGATATAATGTCAAATAGTAGATTGTCTACAAGTTAGTAATGTTTGAACAGTTAAATATTTGATATATGTATAAATACACTCTTTGTCTGACCCATGTCGTATCATTATTGAATTAAACAGCAGTCCTCCAGGTTGCGCAGGAAAATCGACTTCATTTCGTTTTCAACCCGTAGTTGTAGGCATACGATAACCAACCAATATTGAGGTACGTACAACGTTTACAAGGGATAGTAAGCTGTTTTAGAAAAGTAAAGGTGCAAAGGTGAATCATTAAAGTGTAATGAAATAGGTAAATGCAATGTATCATTAATATATGCATTCATAAAAGAAATACAATGGAAGACTATAATCCCTAGGCTGACAAAGTTCCTTTGCAATGTATAATGCTACCCTATAGGTTTTACTATCATGTTGTCCACTTTTGGTTTAATACAATTATCCACAAGCCGGTTGTTTTAATTTCATACCTTTTTGTGTGTTCGGTGCACAACCGTACCCTATATAGAATAGGAATAAAATAAGTCGAATCAAATTCATAAAGAGCTATAAAATGTTAGGTTTAGTGGAATGTAATGAGCAAGTGAAGACGTTATTAGAAAATGTATGGGATGAGACATTGTTAAGTGATATTCGAAGATACGACAAAGGAAAGCATGTCAATTTATAAGATGCCCCATAAATCTGTGCACAGCCCGCGTGGTCGCATCTCAGCAATAGGCTGACCGAATGGTATATGTTTAAAGGTAGAAGCATGATTCGTCTAGGCGATTATTATTACCTTATTCAAGATAAAGATTCAAGCCCTCATAGAAATCTCGAGCCATCAAATTGCATATTGCTGTTCCTGCAGAATGGGGCGATTCACCTTGGTGTTCACCACCATATCTACTGATCAGCATGCGCCACTGATTATCTGTGTTCCTCCACACAGATTGTTTTGCTTACACAATGTGATTTCCAAGGCTTTGCCCTGATAGATGCAGTGAAGCTGTGTTTCTTATTTTTCAATTTCTGAGTACTGAACTTCAGTTGTGGTATGTCTACGGTGGTTTTGAAGGCTTTCAGCTTCATTTCTTCCACTCGGAAGTCGCAGAGACCTGCAGTTAGAATAAAAGTTTAAACTGACGACTCATAATAAGTGAACTTCCTTAGAAGTTCACAGGCTTTCATTTGAGGACATTGACTACCATTCCGTACAGGCATATTCATGATCTAAGATGAAGATACAACTGGTTTTCAGACAGTTTCCTACATCTTAATCAGCTCAAGCGTAGAGACTGAATTGCCGCTACGAATGGCTGTAGTGGTTGACTTTGGTAAATTGTCACCTGTTTGGTGCAGTGAAGCAATCCCACATAGTTCTGCTCAGTATTCATCTGCATGAAATACAAATGACTCTCGAAGCAACCATACAATGACAATGCTGAGAAAATGAGACAAATATATAACTGATTTCCAATTTACAAGCCATCTGGCTACTAATCAGGAATAAGATGAGATGCCGTACGCAGCAAAGTAATGTAGGAAAACTGAGTTCACACCATGTTTTCCTCGGTTTTGTGATTCATCCACCGCGTACCTAGGTTTTGTTAATGCGAAGACAGTATTCCTATATTTCTTAGTGCACTACATTGACTGACTAGTTGGTGGACAAAAAGAAAAGCGGCAGTATAGCTCTATGTAATTAAAATAATAACTTACCCATACCTGTACAGTTGGTATGTGCCTGAATAGATGGGAGTATATATATATATATATATATATATATATTTACAAAATGTCACTCAACTAGTTTAAGAGTAAAGATTACAACACCAGCTTCTCTAATCTAAAGGAAATCAAATTCCCCTCAAATAGTATATGTAGCATTCTGTAGTAGCACACACTTCTCAGAAAATACTAATATCAAAAGAACGTAGAACAAGCAATATGGAACGGATTTATCCGCTAAATGAAAGAATGCGACAGGAAAAACAGGGACGAGTTAGAAGTCAAAGGTAAAATAGTTGAAACACTACTACAGTCTCGTTAGTTCGAATATTGACGCTAGGTGCCGCCGACTCCTAGCCCTCCTTCACCAAGCAAGATTTTGCTACGTGTTCCCTTCTTTAGATACATTAGCTAGTGAACTTCAAGCTTGGTTAAAGATTTCGGTCTTTTTAGAGATCTCCTACATTTTATTAACATCGAGTAGCAAGCACCAGGAAATATACAAATTTGTGGAATGTCACCGGAAATATATGAAAAGGAGAGGTTGAAATGCGCTAAAGGTAGTTGACTTACCTTCTCTGACGAGGCGCGTGGTTTGCTTTGTTTCGTCGTTGCATGTTCGAATTTTAGTATCTTCACTTTCTCAGCAGGTTAGTTGATATCTATATAAGTTTATGTTTTTATCATATTTCGCTTATTGCTAATTTTTCCCGGGCACGTTTTATACCATCATATTCATTAGGAAATGCAGTGAAAATTTTGCAGGAATAAGAGAATTATATTTCGCGACAATAATATTACTTTTGGTCCGCCTTGTTTTCTACTTCTTCACATTTTTTGATCGTTATATGTATGATATAGATACGTTTATTAGCACACTGTAGCAGCAAGAACGTTTTGCACACTTCGTCAGTTACCGAAATTATTTTTGTTCCTTATATCATTGAGATCTTGAATTCTTCTTACAAATGTGTCCAAACCTCAGAGGTAATCGCACCGCTAAGGGGGTTTTCTCTGCAATGCTTAGACTCAGCATTCATTGAAAAATCGTTAGTGAGCGATCCGTATTTCATGGAATTACAGTACCCGAGGTGAGACTGAGTGTTGCCTCGAATTATTTTCCAGAAATGTCACACTACAACCAAACAGTGTACTCGCTGGTTATAGATGTAAACGTGTGCGATGTCACTGTGGTGGTCATTGCCTGACTTAATTAAATCTTTATCCTCATATCACTAATTAAGTTTCTCTAAATAAATGTATTTTGTCCAATGGACGGGCTCTATCTTTCCTCTTGAGCTTATTGTTTTCTTCATCGTTTCATCTTCGGAACTTGGACAATGGCCTGTAATTATACAGCAACAAATCTGTGCTAACCGTCGGTTTCTTGTCATTGCCTCCGTTTGATAGAACCAGTATGCTTGTTAAATATGGTGGATTACTTTGTTGACGAAGTCGTAGACACTTGGCTTTAAGTCCTCGGGACATTACACATTGTCTATCCCAAGGTGCTACGTCGTTCAAAGTCAGAAGAAAGCTAAGAATTGTCAAATCAAGATGTAGCATTAATTCGCACACATCAGCTGTTTGTTTGAACTACAAAGGAAAGTTTAGACCTGTTTGGTTCAGATCAATAAAACACTTTGCTATTAATGTTGAAGTTAATATGGGCTTCTGTGCAACTTATTTCTTAGTTGCAACTGCATAGCCATTTGATAAAATGACTTACTAGCCTTATCGTTAATAATTACAAGCCACTTCATTGCATGTATTTTCGTCAATGGTTTGTCTCCTTGTTAAATTATTACTTATCTGTCTGTAAGACATGAAAAGACAAACAGTTCAGTTCCTACTGGCGTTCTAACTCAGGACCTTCCGGTTAAAAGTCAAGCTCTTAGACACCATCCAGCCACTGGGACCCGACTCAATGGCCGGCCCATGAACTCTAACTTCCACCAACTCGTGATTTTAGCACGATTTGCACCAGCCATTGTGATCGCTGACGAATATTTATCCTCACTTCTCACTAAATGGATCCCATTGGTCACGACTTATCATTAAAACTCCAGTGAATTTCGGCCTGAGGCCAGTCGCCAGCTAGCATCAAATTAATTTTCAAAAGTTAGTTTGTAAGGATTTAGTTGTTTCCAAGTTTAGCCACGGATTGATATCAGTCAGAGAACCGTTGAAGACCGAAGACTACTGGACGGGTCCCAGTGGCTGAATTGTCTAGGAGCTTGACTTGTAACCCCGAAGGCCTTGGGTTCGAACCATGGCGAGTGGGTACTGTAGACTAGGATTAAACAACTGCCCAGAACTCGCTGTTGGTTTTCATTGGTTATCTAACCGATATCAATCCGTGATCAAACTTGAAACAAAGCGAATCCCTAGAAAATAACTCTTGAAAGCATAAAATTATTATTTAAATGCTATTTGCTTCTTTGTAGATAAGACTTGCAACCTTGTTAGTCTAGTGCTTTATTTTATTGCTAGTACGTTTATTAGTTTAGGATTATTCAGTGTTATCACGTTATGAGCAGTAATACAGTTAAATTTCTATCCTGCATATGTTACTAATGTGACCCAGTCAGTTAGACGTCATTCAACAAGCGTTAATTTTCTTTGGATTTTGGAATAAAAAATGTTATGGTTTTAGACTTTTTGCGAGACATATATTCAGCATCGTAGAATAGTGAGGAAAATTGTGCTGTTACTCGTATAAGCATTTCTTTTAGCCTGGTGTAGACATGTGTACCTCTCAGCAGTTTGATCTGTACTCCTTTGTATCTGTGAGACGTAGCAGACATGAAAAAGCTAGCTGTTTTTGATCATAGGTGTCTACCTTCTGTCTCCTATATTAGGTGGTATAATACGGTGAATGATATTGAGGAAAGAGGTAGTGTTAGGTGAGGAGGGAAAATCTACCGATGAGGTTGTGAAGCTACATCGACTGAGATGTCTAGAACATGTGTTACGCATGACTATCCATCGCCTTCCTCGACGACGAGAAATGTTAGCTGACATAGATTTAGTTTGGAAAAGAGCTAGTGGTGATCAGACGAAAACATGACGTCAGTCCATGAAATATGTATCTATTAGTTCTAGCTACTCACGCAGGGAGGTGTATACTGGGTGGTGGGTTGGGAGGGTAAGAATCAATGAAGGCTAGTGATATCACTCAAAATCATTCTCAGTGACTCAGATGCATTCACTGTCGTATCTACCATATCTATGTTGAAACCAGTCAGTGTACACAGTTTATTGTCAGTATATGTGTAAAACCCGGGCACTGTGGTAGTATGTTATTCCATATTAGTTTGTTTATTAGATGCATCACACAGTTTAACAGTATTTACTGAATGATGGAGTTTCTAACACAATCTATTATTGTTCATCATATCAATTATAATCACACGACTTCGAAACTTGAGTTTTATAGTTTCTTTGTTCTCTCCTGTTTGTCGTAGGGGTAGTAGTTGACGAGACTGTGAAATTACATCGACTGAGATAGTTGGGACATGTGTTACGTATGCCTAGTCATCGCCTTCCTCGACATATCTGGGACAAGAGTTGAATCATTCCTATTACACGTATTCTCTTCACTTGATTCGATAAACAAAGCTTCCGTTATCAATCTCTCCCTCCATTCACCCTGTTACATTAGATTTTAAAACTATCATCCTATCCCATCATCCTCTTGTATGGATGTGTGTGATTGCATGTAGTGAGTGTTACAGCTGAACTATTCTCCAGATTTCTTATGGTATTCGGGTCGACGAATCTAGATTTTGCTAGGTTTTTGTGCTTGGCTGGCCTGACTGCACCTGTTCAACTACTCTGACCTATGTATTTGACCTGACAATCATTGCAGGCAGGGTATTAGATAAACTGAATTGTATTGTTTTAAAAGCTCCATAGGATCCTTTAACTGAAAATGTTTGTTTCTAAGTGAATTTGTGGGTTTGATCGCCACTTTCATTCCTGCATTGTTAATAATTCTGTGTAAGGTTTGAGAGGTTGGTTTTAATTCCTTATTGTTGGTGTTGTCGTAGTTCTGTGCATATTTGTCATGCGTATCGTTATTATCACCATTATCACTATTAATAGCATTAATAATTTTATTTTTACGTTTTTCTACATACTTCCTAATTAATTTATTAGGGTAATTATTATGTTTCAAAGCTTCTTTTATATGCTTCACTTCCTGTCTTCAAAGTTCCTTGGTGCTATTTAGTTTTTGTACGCCGTTACTTGAACATTTCACCAGTCCTATTTTTTTACTGGCATCAGGTGAGATGATCGGAAATCCAAATATCGGGTTGAATGTGTATGGGGGGTTTTCTATAAACCCTAGTGTGCTTGATGTCCCATCTTCTTTCCTTTTTACGCTACAATTTAACATCGGAAGCTTCTCTTCATTACTTTCCAATTCATAAGTGAATTGGACTACCTCCACCTTCGAGTTGACGTTCTGGAAAAAAAGCTATTTATGTCCTGTGTTCTAAGTACAGTGGATGTGTCACATGCATACCACGTCAACTGGATGTACCTGCACTCCCCAGTGAGAAGGTGATGGTGTTCTCACTGAGGAAAATCAGAATTAAAAATTAACAGTGACTAGCATCCATTGCACAACTGGTGGCTCCAAAGCCTCATGATGGTCGGGGGTGGGTGCCTTGCGCTGCGGGTTGGCCACCCCTCCGCTTTTGCGTTAGGACACTTCTAAGGACACAGCTAAGGACACTTCTAGTTAATCTGTTAGTTGGCTGCAGTTCAGATTACTACACACTTCACATCAATATGGAGAGGTGAAGTCTACAAAAAGAGAGATAATTCCATATTAGTTTGTTTATTAGGTATATCACACAGTGAAACAGTATTATTTACTTATTATTATTATTATATCAATTGATATGATTATGAACAATAAATTTTGTTCGAAAGTGTGTCATCCAGTAAATAATACTTTCACTGTGTGATATACCTAATAAACAAACTAATATGGAATTACTTACTACCACAGTGCCCAAGTTTTACACATATTAAAAGGAGAGATAATTAATAAAAAAACAAAAACAAAACAAGAATGGTGAAATCAATAAGCGCTTTCAATACAGGTGTAAAGAGCTGTTTGTTGGGAATTTTTAAATTTAAACCAAGCATCATTTATCACCTGAAATGTGAATTTCAGCACTGGTAAAGTTGATGTGCATAAAGCACTCTAACATATTTGTTTTGTTTTTTTTTAAAAAGAAAAACAACTGTTAATTTTCAATAAACAATAATTGTTCTTTTTTTCTCTCACGAGTGAAATTATAACACAGTTTATGTTTTACTACTTGAAAATTCAATCAAACTTGTAACCTGTTTTATTAACTAGTGTGTAATTTATTGAGTATTCACCTGTAAATATAATAAGGTATAAAATTCAGCTTAAGAAATGTAGAACATTTAAATCGTTCTATCTTTGATATTAGGTAAGTAGTATTGAGTTGGATAGGCATTGAACGTTAGGTAAGGAGGGGAAATCAGTAGACGAGGCTGTGAAGTTACATCGATTGAGATGGTTAGGGCATGTGTTACGTATGCATCCCTAGCCATCGCCCTCCTCGATGTGCAATTTTAGCTGACGTAGGATCAGGTTGGAAAAGAGCCAGTGGTGGTCAAACCAAAACATGGCTTCATCAGTCAATGAAATGCATAAGAGTTAGTTTGAACCACGTAGGAAGATGTAGACTTTCTGACTGGTTGTGGTCCTCGGGACGGTAAAACCCGACGGTTGGAGACAATTAGTGCTGTCTCAAATCGTTCTCAATGGCGCAGATCCATCCACTCCTTGTGATTTATAATACACAATAAAACTATTTTTCTTCGATATTACTATTCTTTTCGCCTTATATCTCTGTTTACTGTCTCTATTTTGGATTCCCTTTTACTTTCTTCTCTTGCTTTGTGTGCTACATGGAGGGAATGTGGCAACTTGAACTGTTGCATATCGGTGCTACTACTACGTTGAAACCAGTCAGTCAGTTGTGCAACCGATCAGAATCGTATTCTTGAACTCTTTCAAGCAGGATACACGTCGAATGACCCTTGTACCTGGCTCCACGGCAACAGATGAACTGACACATATGCACATAGAAGTAGTCAGGTGCGAGATCTCGCTCTTTGGGTTTCTATTCCTTTTATTCACTGAGAAATATTAACAATTATGTTTGTGACAACTCATCACTTTTGTTACTACGCTCTTTGATGCAAAAAATGTTGTAGACTGTACATCTGGGGAGGAAGATGAATTCGTCGGAGGGAAAAGCCTCTCTACTGAACTACTTATCGCATTTTTAATAAAGTCCCTGTTTTAACCATTCATCATCAGTATCATAGTTGAGTCTACGATCCTACTATAGAACGATTCCTTGAAGTGTAATAACATTTTTGCTTTCTTCACTTATAGATTTTCAAAATATGTCTGAGAAGAAACGGAAGCATCGATTAGCCGGGGATAAGATTGACGATGATCCATTGAAACCGTCACCAGATGAAATCAGTATTGCCAATTATCTGCACAAAAAGTTACCATCAAAAGAAGCCCGTCTGTCTGGCATGATTGTTCGTGTATTCGTCGCTATGGAGGCGATAGAACTACTCATGGAATCACCATGGGCTAAGCTAAATAATGATGCTAAACCGTATCTATTCACAAGTCAAACTGCTGCAGTCAATTTTATGACCAATATGTTTCAAAAGCAAATGTTTCAACGGTAATTAAAACTCTCACTGTTCTCCTTATCATAATAATAATATTCATTTACATTTGTAGTGCTGTTCGTATCAAGAAAAAGTCATCGAAGCATCGTGAAGAGACAAAGTCGTCAAAGTCAAAGGTGGTGAAAAAGCTGGTTGACGGGAAACCTGTTACCGCTGCTGCTGCTCCTGCTAATGCTGTTGCTGCTACCGCCAGTAAAGCAACTGCTGAATCCTCACCAAACGGAAATGTATGTATGTGTCCTTTTTGTGCTTTTTGACCAGGTGGCCAGCTAGAGTTAATTTGATCTGTTTTTGTATTCCTTTACGTTCATGGTGGTGGAACATAAGGCTTCAAACTGGAGTTTTAAAGTTTTGGTAGCAGTAGGGCTTATTTTCATTACGGGATGGGGTTGCTGTTAGCTTCATGTTAGCCCAACCTTTCCTATTTACCGGTCTTATTACTGGCTTCTGTCTGTCTGTTTGTCTGGTTTCAACATAGAACTTTGCACCGGTGTGCAGCAGTTCGAGTCGCCACACTCCCCCCATGTAGCACACAAATCAAGAGAAGAAAGTTGAAGAAATGCAAAGTAGAGACAATAGACAGGGATATGAGTCAAAAGGAATAGTAATAACGAAGAACAATATAGTTTCATTGGGTATTATAAATCATAAGGAGTGGATGCATCTGAGCTATCACTGAGAACGATGAGTTTGACCCATATCACCGATTGTCTCCAGCCTTCATTGGGGTTTACCGTCCCGAGGACCCCAACCAGTCAGGAAGTCTACACCTTCCTACGTGTCTGGCTTAAACTAACTATTGTGGATTTCATTCACTGATGAAGCCATGTTTTGTTTTGATCACCAGTGGTTCTTCTCCGACCTGACACTATGTCAGCTAAAATTGCACGTCGAGAAAGGCGATGGCTAGGGATGCATATGTAACACATGTCCTAACCATCTTAGTCGATGTAACTTCACAGCCTCGTCTATTGATTTCTCTCACCTACCTGGCACTCGACACCTAACCTCAATAGTGCTCACTCCATTATATCACTTCACGCGGGATATAGAACACGAGCACTTATGATCAAAGACAGCTAGCCTTTTCATTTCTTCCACTTTCAATGGTCATGTCTCACTCACAGCCATAAGGCAGGACGGAGCGGACAGCTGAGCAGTACAGACGCCCTTTAGCTACAGGCTTTGTGAGGTTTAGAAGTGCGTCAGTGGCCTGGGATCGAACCAGGAACCACATGAGTCGTGGTTGGCGAACACATTCTACCGCTGTATTTCTGACGCCTCAAAGTGTTACGTACTGGACCACTCGGGTCACAAATAGCGCCTGCTCTTAGGAAGTTGAACCCGGACTAGCTGGGTGAGAGCCAGGAATTCTAACCGCCAGACCACGCGGGACGATTATCTTCGAAACATTTATTTCTCCGCCTGATATGAATTCAAAACAAGGAAGAAAGGTTAGTAAATCGGGATTCAATGAATTCACCGAATTTTGGTAGAACTCTTCAACTGAGTACTCTATATACACTGATATAATATATATATATATATACTAATAGAAATACATTAGGAAGTATAAGACTGAAAATACGGTGTGGAATCAAGCTGTAAATCAAAATAAATAAAAAAATAAATAAACTACAATTAATGAATCATGCAAAACCACAGGTACGAATATTTTATAGGGGAAATTCAGATAGGTGATGAGTGGTAAGGGATTATAAGAGATTAAATATATTTGAGATGATAATGGATTACTGTTCATTAGCCTTACTCAAATGAACAATTAGTTATCAGCGAAAGGACTCAAAAATGTTGGGAATTGCGGAGTGCATGGCAATATATATATATATATATATATATATATATATAATGTTAGCTGACATAGGATCAGTTTCTTGGGAAAGGGCCAGTTGTGGTCAAACCAAAATATGACTTTATTAGTCAATGAAATCTACAACATTTAGTTTAAGCAATATAGGGAGTTGTGAACTTCCCGGTTGTGGTCCTCAGGATAATTGGTGATAAGGATGAAAATGGTTCTCAGTGATGGCGCCGATTCATCTACTCCTTCTGACTTATAATACACAATAAAACTATATTGTTCGTCGTTATTACTATTCTTTTTGCCTTATATATCTGTTTATTATCTCTTTCTGTTTTGCATTTCTTTTTACTTTCTTCTCTTGCTTTGTGCGCTACAAGGAGGGAGTGTGGCGACTCGAACTGCTTCACATTGGTGCAAAGTTCTATGTTGAAACCAGTTAGTGAGTCAGTGAACGTGCTATCAATCTATTGTCCAAACAGTACTTAATAATGAGATCAGGATGACATTGAAGCTCATTTTGTGCACAGTGTTCCTACTGATGCTGTAATAACGACAGGTTCTCTAATCCAACGAATGGCTGTCGTTCATCCTCATTAGTGCATTCGCACTCTGTGGTAGCTATTCTCTAGGTGTTGGCCTCACCCGCAACCACTAAATAATGTCATAGTAACCTTCAAACATCATTGAAGTGTTCATTTTGGGATCTAGCGTTGTGAGCAGTGACCTAGAGTTTCTCTTCACTAAACATTAGTCAACAGAAAATGGATAATAACTTAGGTGTTAGTGTTTCAGTTTGAAATGGTTGCAGATAAATATTGAGAAAATTAAAGGTAGGATTACAAACAAGAAGAAATCTGCAAATATAGTCACATGGGACAATAAACAGCGGATTAGTTGTTTGTCCTTATCCACTGACGATGTTGAAACATTTTAACTCACCACAGGGTAAACGGTAAATATCGAGTGTGTAGTGTTGTCATGCTGATATATATTACTCATCTGATGTGATGAGTTTTACTTTGAGGGCATCAATCAAATCCCAAGTGACTTCTGACTACTGCTTATATCATATAACGATTTTAACAAAACTGTGTGACTCTTGTGACATTCACGAAGCTGTATCATCCCTGGTGTAGACGTGGTATTCGGCTGGTTATCAATCAATGGACATGCGTGTATTGCTCACCAATTCACTCAGTCTTTCTCTATGTCCGTGAGACGGTGGCCATAGAAAGTGGAAATCGTGAAAAGGCTGTCTTTGATTAAAAGTGTATCTGTTCTGTTTCGCATGTTAGTTGTTTATACCTCCTCCCCCATAGTCTTTCCTAGGTTGATCAAAAAGGATTATATCATGTTGAGAAGGGTATTAAAGGTTGCCAGTAAGGCAAGTAGCGTGCCACTCTAAGTCAACTAGCTCGTTACTATTGTAGTCGGTGGACTTCTGAACTCATGTGAGAAATGACTTAAGTGTTTGGCATATATCTTCCTGTGTTTCCTCGTTCAAGTTTGATGATTTGAGTAATGATTCAAGGGCAGCGAAGAAATCAGTTTTCGAGGCATCTTCGGTGTTGTAGTTTAATCATTTTTGTAGTAGTTGTTGTTCCGTTTTCGATAGTGGTTGTTTTGATAAGTTGAATACGCAGTCAATAGGTGCATTCTTTTCGAGTTTTGGCTAGCTTGATTTTGAGGACTCTCCGCCTTTGTTCTCTGTGTTTTCTACTTGACCATGTAATTGTGGTGATCAGAGTTGACAGGTGTTCCTGGTTTTAGACATCTATTATTTGTTGGTATTTGTTGATCCGATATTGTGCGTCTGTAATCAGTAATTTGACCATTCGTCTTCCACATTGTTCAGCCAATTTCTATCCCATTGGGCAGTTGACTGATGGTCTGTATCTTACACTGGTCGGTAGGATTTGATGACGAAGGCACTCATGGAGAAAGAATAATTGTTCTCTGGTGGATCCTTGCCTTTTGGCGAAGTCTTCCCACTTTTGAACAGAGAGAAGCGTATTCCGCTCGTAAGATTTAGATATGATGGAGAAGATCTATAGCTCAGCTGGATGATTTTCATGTGGTTGTGTTCTCTGAGCTGGATAGTTGATTTGAGAAGCTTTCATCACCCTACTAGGTAACATCTTCAGCGCATACTTCAAATTGAAGTCCATATCGTCTGATTTTCAACATCTCACTCTCTATTCAGAACTCTTTTCCACCTTGCATCTCATGAGGTAGGACTAGAAATCATTATAAAAGATTATATGCTCTCACACCAACGAGTACAAAAGCACCAACGATACCCTACTTGGCCCACATGCGTTCTATTTGATGCAGACTGTGTTATGCGTGAAACCTACAACTTTCAAGACCAGATTCGGGAAAGCAGGGGAGACATTCATCAGTCTGAAATTAGTTTGGAAATCGTTTGCACTCAGCACAGCCATGTTAAGTCATTCCGTCAAGCATCACAACGAGCATTTCCAATAGGCAACTGGATACATTTATCAATAGCTGCCTTCGTTGGCTCACTGTTGAAGAAACCCTTGGGGACGGACCAACCAAACAACCTATTACCAGACAAATATTCCGAAGAGAATGGATAAATGGATCGCACACATGTTGAGGAGACCACTGACTAACCTCGTGCGTCAGACCCTCGAGAGTGGGAAGCGGCGGGTTGGACATGGCTCCGAGGGTGACATTGAGAGATGAGAGACTATGGACAGTCGTAGGGAGGCAGGTAAACAGGAGTGCAGTGAACAACATAGAGTAGAGGTGTTCTGTTGAAGCCTTATATTCCCCTCGGAACCCAGCGGAACACTAATGAATAATATATAATTTTATAGTTGATTACAATTCACAGGTGTTGTTCAGCAAGTTAACTGTTTACTCCTTCCTCTTGTTTTGTTTTTTTCCTTTTTACCAATAGGCAGTTGTTGGCGAAGAATCCTGTGATTCACAACCTGCAAAATCTAGTCTCTTCTCTTCAATCACTTCAAGTATCAATGAAATCACCTCCTCAAAGTCATCATCATCCAGTGGTGGTGGTGGTGGGAAGAAACCAATGCGTTTGGAAGTTGTCGATGAACAGATATTCACACTTGATGATCCACACTCCTTTTATATTTGGATATATGAACCACCTCCAGGGCTGTTCAATTGGTTGGCTGGTACAGCCCTGATTATCGGTATTATCTTGTGTTGCCTATTCCCTATCTGGCCGTCAGAATTACGTCAAGGTGCTTATTATTTGACAATAACTGTCTCAGGATTTCTAGGCGTTTTATTCTTTATCGGTTTTATTCGATTTTGTCTCTATCTCCTAGTCTGGTTGTTCACTTTAGGTCAATACAATTTTTGGTTATTTCCAAATTATTGTGAAGATTGTGGATTTTTTGATTCATTTCGTCCATTGTATTCATTGAAACATGTGTCAGAGGCTGAAACACCGGTGAATAAGAAGAGCAAGTCGAAAGTAAAGTCTTCTTCCAATAACAATAGCAATAGCAATAATAATAATAATAATAATAGTACCTCGTCTGCTACAACTCTTTCTAATGTCTGTGACAGTAGTAGTAGTAGTGCAAAGAGCACACAATCATCTTGTTGTACAGAAGAAACTCTGCTGAAATCACCTGAAGTCCTCGAAGAAGAAGAACATGAACAAGAAGAAGAAGAACCAGAGGCAGAAGAAGGTGAGGCAGAGAAACTGAAGGCGAAGAAAGACGCTTGATGACAGAAGAGAGAGAGAGAGAGAGCGGTAAGAAAAAAAACCACATTCTGTTTTGTGCAATCAATCATGTCTACTTACTAATAAACAATTCTGTTTACCTATCCTGTTGCTTTCTTCTTTCTTTTGTGGTTTTCTTGTTGGCATAATATTTCAATTTTGTGTGTGAAATCTTCTCTCTGAAGAACGATCGATGTGATGTGACCACCGGTTACCTCTTCTTCTTCTTCTTCTCCTACTTTTTATTCTTTGTCTTCTTCGACTAAAAATATTTCTTTTTACAAATGTAAATTTCATATTTTAAAACAGCGAAAACTTCTTGATTCGTCCAGGAATGTAGTGTGTTAAAGTTTCCTCTTTCTTTCTTTCTTTTTGTTTTGTGATCACGAAATTATTCTTCAATAAATACCAATGACCAAGAGAGCGAATTGTTCGTTTATTTTGAAGAAAAAAAAACCCAGCCTGATTGGTTTCATTATAGAAGTGTTTTGCAGAGATGTGCAGCCAGTTTGAGTCGCCACTCTGTCTGTCTCTCTATCTCTCTATGTAGCGTACAAAGTGCAAGAGAAGAGAGTAAAGGGAGGTTTAAAAAACAATAGAGTTTTATTGGATAAGATAAATCACAAGGAGTAGATCAATGCATCTTCACCAGCCATTGAGAGGACGAGGATTTTAAGCCATATCATCGCCAATTGTCTCCAGGTTTTATTGGTTCTTTTACCATCTTGACGTGGCTTAAATTAACTCTTATGGATTTCAATATTGCAAAAATATTCATTCAGACATCTATAAAACACAAAATAATCGAGCAAAGAACATTCTTTTCGATAAATTCCTCTTCCAGGTTCTACAATTATATATATATTTTTATACACAGAATATTTTAAAGTAGTAGTCAATAACAATATTAGCGTTTTTTTAAATAATATCGATTTGTAAAGTATGATCAATGCTATTGCAGTTCATTAAAAAGATGCTTAAATTATAATAATAATAAAGATATAACAGCGAATAGAATATCAACTAAAATTAGGGAAATTTCACAAAAATTCTGGATTATTCATTGATTGATGAAGCTATTTGCAATTAATAGCGTTCTCTGAGCTGGTTGGTTTGGTTGCGGAGCTGTCGTCGTCCTTCTGGACAACATCTTCAGCGCAATATTTGGCATAAAGTGAAATGATTTAAATTTCTTCATGAGTGATATAATTGCGTCTCCGCAGCCAAACCAACTAGCTCAGAGAACACTAATAATTGCAAATCATCCACCTGAGCTGTAAATCTTCTCTATGAAGCTATGTTTTGGTTTGACCACCACTAGATCTTTTCTAACCTGATCCATCCTATGTCAGCTAAGATTTCCCTTCGTCGATGTTGGCGATGGCTAGGGATGCATGTGCAACACATGCCTTAACTATCTCAATCGTTGTAACTTCACGACCTCGTCGTTTGACTTCCACTCCTTACCTAGGATTCTCCGTCTTTCCATAGTATTAGTCAACCTACTATGCCACCTAATGCGTGAGACAGAACGCAGGCACCTATGATCAAAGACAGTTAGCTTGGATTTCCATGTCTTCCACTTTCAATGGTCATGTCTCGTCACAGCCAAAATGGAGGACCGAGCAAACTCCTGAGCAGTACACACGTCGTTTGGTCGACAGCTAGCCGGATATCACGTCTACTAAGCCGAAGTTGGCGTATGGCAAACGAGCCTTCTGTATCTGTGCTGCGATTTCGTCAGGGATCAACGCGTTTGGGGGCTGATGTAACTCCCCAAATAAGTGAAGTCGTTAACACGCTCTACCACTTCACTCCGGCATATTTCTAAGCTGGAAAGGAGTCGATGTAGTCCAGTCCCATAGCATCATCTTACATTTGAAAGGAGCGAATCGCATGCTAAACAACTAAGATTGTTGCCTAAGGTATCTAGAAGACTCTGTATTTTGTCAGCGTCTTCACCTAGGATGGAGGACTATATCATTCGCATATTCTAAGTCTACAAGATTACACCCTGGTAACAAGTCAATCGTCGAGTTGCTGAATTCAGTTATAGCTAAGTCCATTAGTACATCTGTTATGAAATTAAACAGAAAACGGCTGTTTTCCTTGGTTGACCCAGCAAGCTTTTTGGCTGTGGGAAGTGGTATGTAGAAATGAGCAACTCTGACGATTGTGTACACCTTTACCTACTTTACAGCCATAAGGTCTTCGTACGACTACAACTGGAGACAGCACTTGTATGAGCGTTCGCAGGTACTTGTCACTTAGTCTCTAAGGTCACACACAACACCTGTCCTCTTAGTATTTCACTTATTTCAAGAAGGAGTCAACTTCCATGGTGTGAATAGCCAAGGGAATTAGTAACTGCCGACACACTTCTAGTCATATGAATCAGAGAAACCTTTGCTGTTAAACGTAGATGTCTTTACTGGATCTTGATAAGGTGAATATTAATGTTTGGAATTTGATTACTGTTGTTAGTGTGTGTTCACCATCCGACTAGAATAACATGCTGGATCTATTTGAAATCGCTATTTCCAAATCAATTTTAGGACCACGAGTGGTTCACAAACCGGCTTGTTTTGAATGCAGCTCGTTTCTGGTGTCAATCCATTGATCAGGTGTTCATTATAGATGAGTTGCTAGTATTCAGTCACATGTGTTGGCGGTTGTAGGGGACTAAACAATGAGCACGATAAGTGTGCGAAATATTGGAATAAAAATCCAATTGAGCAAAGGATATTATAGGTATGCAGATAATATTGAATTATGAAAGGCAATGGTTACCACGCATATGGTTCGGCCTCATTTCATTGATTTTGTGAGGGCTGAGATACTGCCTGGGCGCCCAAACTAAAGCAGGTGGTTGTCTTCCGAGCCTTTGACTTGGAGTCTCTTCTGCAAGGTAGCTTCAGGAGCTACGTTTCCATGGTTGCCAGTGACCAATACAGGTTCATACGCCATTTGATCCGATTGGATTCTGGAGCCCATGTACCCTATGGTGGTCAGCCCCATGAAGGATATTTGTGTTAGGTTAGCATTGGTTGGTGCGCCACGACTCCTTGGATGAAGTCCGACGGATAGCTCGAAACGTTGTCGGATATGGCAAAGAATCGTAATCAATGGTGAACGTGGTGCAATTTCCTTCTTTCTTGTTTGAACTTGTTAAGTATGACTGTTTTCCTTTCAGATGAAGTTCTTTATCCGTTCTCCACCTATATTTTTACTTTTAATCTATGTTGTTTTGTTATTATTGTGTGGCGCTAGGGGTTTGCCACTGCGTGAGCTCGCCAATACTATAGTCGAGAGACACATAAATTCCTGTACAAAATGGGCAAAGGCCGTACTGTCAGACCCTCTGCACCCCCTTTATTCACAACTATCCCCTTGTATCTCATCAGGTAGGACGAGAAGTTAATACAAAAAGTTATATGCTCGCACCACTAAGTACAAAAAATTCTACAATACCCTATATAGTGTGATGGAGACACTGTTAGACGTGAAACATATAAGTTACTATGTAATTAGCATAGTGAATCGACCCTTTCATTGTTCATCGTTCTGTAATTTTATGGTGTCACCCTTTCGATCATTTAATTATAACTTTGCTATTTTTATTTTAGTTGTTATTACTATTATTACAAAAATTTTATACTTTATGCATATTTTTCTCGGTATTGCATACAGTAATTTGCTACATAGCTGCTATAACAACGTTTTATTATTACTATTGTGTAATGTTTATTTTTTCTTTTGTTTTTCTTTTGTGGTTTTTGAGTAAATTAGATGCAATATTGTACTGAATGCTGAGAATTCCTTGCTGTATCATTAGTACTGTTTTTGGAATAAAGCAAAAAATATTAATATTAAAAAAAATTATTATATTGTAGCAAGTTTTTTGTCTTTAAATAAATAAATATGGTTTGGCGTTCGATTCACAGCCGACGCACTGCTTTACCTCGCTAAACTAGTAATAAGACTGGTAAAGAGGGAAGGTGGTTGGGCATGAGGATGGCTAGCAACTCCATCCCGTAAAAGTAAACACCACTGCTACCGAAACTTCAAGCCTCTAGCTTGAAGGCGCCCTGGGAACGTGAAGGAATAAAATAAAAATAAATAAAAGTCATAGTCGACTTCTACAATTTAACAATATAATCCACAGACACGATTCACTGCTGGATTATGTTCACTGGCAGAATTTGTTCACCGGCTGTTGAAGAGTCTTTGTACAAGGACGAAATATTCCTGTCAGTTCCAAAGAATACAACACGAGGATTAGCGGAGCAGGTAGGTAGTAGAAATCAGTGGGAAGACGAAGCGATGGACAGCGCGGCTATATTTTCATTCGAACGGGAAATTCATGTATGTTTGACAAAGAAGTCAATTGAACAAAACTTATGTACAACGTGTGTATATTTAACATTTGGCAAAGACTACAAATTTGTTGTTCAGGACTCCATACGATTCCTCCTCTTAGAAGGCCGGAGGGATTACCAGAAACTGTGATTGATACCGATACAAATAATAATTTCGACAGAGAAAGAAAGACCAGATTTGCAGTGTAAAGTGATATCATCATTCTATTTCACATGTCCTCATCAGCTGCAAACTACATAAAATTATAATGGTTATAAATAATACCATTTCATACTTCAATGTTTGAAAGGTAATAGAGAAAACATTATAAGATGAACGTATCCGGAATATAAGCATTACAATTTTTAGTTTAAGTTACCATCAATTTATATACTATCAAACTATGAAAAAAAGAAGGGGGGGGGGAGTGAGAGAAGACAGAAAACAGAAAAATCCAATAAACAGTATAAGCTTGTACGTAAACATGGCAACGTAAGAAGGTTAAAGTTTATCAATTTGAAAACTTGGTCAGTGAGCTGAGCTCACTAGTGTGTATGACTAATCAGTGTAATGAAAGTGATACGGTTATCAAGGGAGTGAGAAATTGACTACACTCTCTTTCTGTGTGCATAAGTTTGGTCTGAGACGTTTGTTTGCAATTGCTTCAGCAAATCGTAGTAGATTCGCTGTCCTTTGTATGTTTAATATTTTGAAGGATTTGGAAATCTCAACAAAATGGCCTGTATCCACAAGGTGGGTGTCTGGTAATTGCACTTTGTAAATATCTGCTTCCTTTAAAGCATAGGTTTCCTGGAATATGCTCTGAAAAGCGGATAGAAGCCCTGCCTTCTTTCTGTCCTTCCAATGTACTTGCTGCCGCAGGTGCACATAAATTTATAAATGCAGTTGGAGGTAACATCAGCAGGGTACTTATCCAGTTTCGCTTGGCTTATAGAGCATGCAGCGCTGTATAGTGTCACCAGCTTGGCTGCAGGGAAGCATCTCTTTATTGCTCCTTTCATCCTCACCAAATGTATGAAATAATTATGATGATAAAAATAAGTACAATAATATACAGTAGCGTGCGTGGAAAGGTATTTAGGTGATTCAAAGTTCAATGTATGTGCATATAGTTCAACAACAACAGCAACCAAAAATAGTTTCTAAGAAATGAAAAATTCTGTAGAGAAAATATCTATCAATATTGCAGTAACTATGACAAAGAATGTTTGTATGCGGTATATATATATATAAGATAACCAACGAACCGCAACAGCAACAATAACCAGCACCAATCACCATCAATAGGAGAGATTTGTCAGTGATTACTTCCTTCACTTATCTAGGAGGAAGCACGGTTTAAA